TGCCTGGGCACCCTGGCTGAAAAAGGCTGCACTAACAGGAGTTCTTGCTGGGTGTGCACGATTAAGCTACATACAGTACACAACGCAGCTCAGCCATTCACAGGAAGCTTTGTATTCTATGAGTGGATACAAAGCTTCCTCTGATTGGCTAAGGTGGAGATTATGACATCATCTGCCCACCTCTGTGCCACAGCATTAATGCTTCAAAAACACTTTCAAACAAAACAGAATGTAGTAAATAAAAAACATAAAAAATACTTTTGTCTTAGGATAACATCATTGATTTTGTGCTACCTACTTACAACTGGTTCAGCAAGTGCTGTGCCCAGCACCAAACATGTTAGAAGAGAACTTGTCCCTGCTGGATATAGCTTTACATATCTGGTATGATACTCCTGTTGCTGGTGTAGTTGATTGCTTTGGTGGAGCCAAGCCTGCAACTGAAATGTTAATGTAAAGTGTGAATCCTGATCTCACATGGAGCAGCATGTGAAATATTTGGCCCAAGGGGGCGAAGCTTGACCAGGCATGTGAGCAGAAGTGCTTCACGAAGCTCCCTGCATAGATCCTGACACCGATTCTCTCACCGGCAGACATTCGCTTTCTGACTGACGTCATTCCCTTCCTGGGCTTCTCTTCTATCTGCTGCCGCCCCTTATTGCAGAAATGTGCTCTACAACCTGCAAGGTCCTTGACATTTATCAACGTGCGGATGATATTGAAAATTGATTACAACAATGTGCATATTGTTGGTCTTCCAGAGCACACGGAGGGCAATATCCCTACTGATATTGTGGAAGAAAGGCTGCAGGGAGTGTTTGGCTGGGATGCATTTATGCCATTGTTTGCGGTTCAGTGGGCACACCGCACCCCTAATAGGGCCCTGCCGGGGAACATGCCTAGACCTATCCTGCCTCGTCTGCTTCACTACAAAGACTGGTAAATTGTTCTCCTCCTGGCTGGAGAACGCCGCAACATAAAATATACTGAAATATCCTTCTACCCAGATTTTGCAACTGCTGTGCAATTTTTGGAGGTAAGAAATGACTACAGTGACTATCTCTAACATATGCCCTGTTGTACTCAGCATGCTTGCATGTCACGGATCATGGCCGTGCTCACTTCTTCAATACTGCGGAAGAAGCTATGGAGTAGTTGGATGTAAATGAAGTATCCCTCTGCAGCCGCAAACAGGATGAAGATATCCTGCCTAATTTCTACTTACCAGACTCAGTCAACTTTAGAAAGATGCATTCCCATCTAGCCAGGGAGGCTGGCTTCCTTAAAATGTTTGTTTTAAGCTTCTGTGAGCAGTTTATTGCAGTTTTTGACTCTACATGTTTGATCTGTTACTCTTGGACTATTGTCTATCTAGAAGAACCCACTGTGTATAGCTTGTTGGGAAGTTTGTTAGTGCCATGATGACGCCGCACAGTCTAAGTTTCAAACTGTTCTTACTGTTGTGCCACCATGTTGCGCCTAATTCTATACTGCCTACTCAGTTGTTACTTTTGGTTCCAGAACTATTATTACAGTCCTGATTCTGCACCTGTTGTAGTCATCCGCCGATACAGCCCTATGCTGGTTGCCTCTGCCCACTGTGCAATGCTTCTACATACCCATGGGTCCATGATCTCTACATCACCATGGCAGGGAGCCTACTGCTCCTCAATATCTGCCAAGTATACCTTTACTCTGCAGTTATTGCGGACCTTCTTTTAATAGAATAGAAACATAAGGGGTCTCCACAATCCTGTCAAGAGGGCTATGATAAATGCCTCTCTTTGAAAATACCAACCTGCTGTGTGTGGACTACAGGAGACCCATCTCTTCAAAGAAACCCTGTCTTGTGTTGGTTACTCCTGGGTGGGGCGTGCATATCACTCCACTCACACTTCGTTTTCTAGGAGGGTGAATGTGCTGATACACAGGGACCTGGATTTCCAGGAATTGACAGCCCAAATTGATGAGGAGGGCAGATATATATTTCTATATTTGACGTGAAGATTCTGGCGAAGGTTTTGGCTAGAAGGCTCAATAAGGGGATTACTGACATCATTCACCCAGACCAAACTGGCTTTATGCCAGGTAAGTCTACGGCCACTAATATTCGCAGGGTATTTTGAATATGCAGACCCTTTCTGATAATGTTGGATCCAGAGCCCTGCTATCCTTAGACACTAAAAAAGAATTTGACAGCATAGAATGGAGATACTTATGGGAAATTATGAAATGTTTTTGTTTTGGAGAGAGGTTCATCTCCTGGGTGTGCCTCCTTTACTCTGATCCATAGGCAGCCATAAGAATGGGGGGGTACTGTATCCTCTTTTTTCCCATTGGGTAAGGGAACAGGTCAGGGTGCCCTCTTTACCCACTCCTATTTGTCCTGGCCATCGATCCACTAGCAGTCCGTATTAGGGAGTCAGTAGACATCAAGGGCTTTTGTTATGGTACTATGCACAAAAAACTAGCTCACCAGTATTAGGTTGAAACAGTAGCAGCACCCTGAGAGTGCTGGGGGAGTTTCCATTTTTTATACCTGTATTTTCTGGCTTCTCAGCTGCGGCAAATGTGGATGGGTCTTGTCCGGGAGTCAGGGATGACAGTTAATGGTTCCTCTCTTTCCATTGTATTGCTACATACCAATTCACTTTCTCTTCCTCATGGCCTAGAATCACAGTATTTTGCTAAGTCTAATCGCCAATTTCCTACTTATCGCTTAATGCATAAGATCTGGACTAAAGTCAAACAAATGCAGGGGGTGGCAGGCTTTACCCATTATAGTCCACTCTTGGGTAACCATTCCTATCCAGAGTTTGCTAAACTACCCTATGATACTAAGTGGCACAAATATGGTATTACCCACCTAAAACATGTTTTTCAGGATGGGAAATTCTTATTGTTCTCTGCTGCCATGCAGGCCCTTTACCATTTGCCACAATCTATGTACTTCTATTACCTACAGTTGCACCATGCAGTGGTGGCCCAAAATAATTTCCTTTCTCTCCCACTCCTATCTTTAGTATGCTGCAATGCAGTACGCACAGAAAAGTATGATATCTTGTTGCTATGCTACCCTGCTCTCCATCTACCTTGGAGCATATCCTTGCAAAGTGAAGGAGCAATGGCAGTCAGATGTTGGGGAAATAATGGGTGGACAGTGGGAGATGGCATTGGAAGTGGTACAGGATGGTTCCTTAAACACCTCCCAGCACTTCTCACAACTGTATATCTTGGTACTTTATACACCTTCCAAGTGGTTTAGGATGGGGGGCTCCTTCCTGATGCAACTTGTCCTAAATGTACTAGGGACCATGGTAATGTTATTCATGTGCTGTGGTGCTGTCCAAAACTTCACAGATATTGGGAATTGATACATACCACCATAAACCTAGATTGTAAGCTCGAAAGAGTAGGGCCCTCTTACCCCTTGTGTACTGTTTGATGTTACTGTTCTGTTTCATGCATTGTCCCCCCTCTATTGTACAGCGCTGAGCAAACCCTTTGGCGCTATATAAACTCGATAAATAAATAAATAAATAAATAAATAAACTAGCTTTTCTGTGGACAATACCTTATGATCTGAGTTGCTGCCTTCTAGGCATATTGGATGATGAAGTGGTTCCTGATGCCTTTGTTAAGGTAGCAGTTTCTAGAGCTTTATTTTAGGCACATAGAGGCATCTTGCTTCACCGGAAAAACCCTTCTCCTCCCACACTTAGAGAATGGATAACTTCTATGGGAACTGTTCTTGGATATGAATGGATTATTTATCAACATAGAGGTTGTCCCTCTAAATTTATGGGCTGATTTATGTATTGTGGGTGGATTTGTCTTCTGCTGATCATGGAGGTATTACTGTATTAATACTGACAAAATTTCTGACTATGACGTTTTGTTAATAGGTTGTTTATGATTGTTTGACATGTGGTTCTGAAACATATACAATGTAAGTTTGTGCAAACTCAATAATGCTTTCTTTTGACAAAAAAAAAGAAATATTTGGCCTTAGCAAGGGGAAGAAGGCCAGCCAGAGCCTAGAACCTTAGAAGTTTGGTTAATATTTGCACATGGAGATACCTTTACTTTTGGAATCCCTGGTTACTCTTCCAGAAACGCTTTATAGTGTAAGTTGAGCCAAAGCTTTCTTTTAGGAGATTTTAGGAGATTTGTTCCCTATTTCCTGTCTGGTGAAACCATTGTCAACAGGGCAGTAAGTGAGGGGAAATCCCTGCAATTAAATCACAAACATATAAATATATAACATAATTATTTTGTGCCAACAAATCTGCTTTCAGCACATCAACAGCCAGCATCAAATCAATTATTCTTTACAAGGACAATTAGATATTATTACATATTGTTTGTTAGCAATGGTTTGTTGTGAAAAAGCCTAATCAATACTTCACACCCATATAAAATTCTAAAAAAACTTTAATAATTTTTTTTCACATTAGCTTAGCTAAATAAATCTAACTGACTGAAAGAGTGAGCAAACTACTTAGCAATGTTTTATTTTTTTTTATTCTGTACAAACACAATCTATGGGTCTTCCAGTGCCTTGGGGGAGAGTCTGGGCATTGCTGTACCTTTAAAAAGGAGGATGTTAACTCATATTACAGAAAAGGAACTCGTCAACTATACTAGAGCACAAACAGTGGATAGATGTGATTAATTTCAACCTATGGAGGGAGAAGCTGACATACCATATAAACATAGGGGCTGCCCCTAAAAATTTTCAAAAAATATGGGCCTGATGGCTAGATTCTAATTTATCATCCCATTCCACTTTGTCCTTAAGAGCTGATATAGGGAGCTAGGTGAACACTCTGCCAATGGTTTGGGAGCATGACAGTCTCTTGGTTTAACCGTGATGTATTGTAGTGGTTATTTTTTTTAATGTGACTCTTCTGATATGGTACTAATCGGTGTAAGAAGACTACTTTAACTCAAGGTATCTTAAATCTGCTTTGGCATGATCTAAAAATAGTAAGTTTTATCTTCTACCAGGGGCGGACTGACCATTCGAGCACTCGGGCACTGCCCGAGGGCCCGGGATCAGTAGGGGGCCCCATGAAATGCCACTGGTACCTTTTTATATGATTTTTTTTGGTGTGCTTTGAGTGTAGGCATGGACACAGGGGCCCCATGATCCCCTATTGCCCGGGGCCCCATGAGTTTTCAGTCCGCCCCTGATTTCTACGTATACTGTGGAAATGTTTTTCTGCATAATTTTTCGTTGTTAAATGAAAAATTGTTTAATAAAAATTACCTGATATAAAAAAAAGGAGGGCATGCCTGCTCTCAATTTTTTCAATGCTATTTGCTGTATGTCCCAAGTTGGGAACTCAAATAATATACAGCATAGAGATGACGGGAGTTAAGACAAAAGTTTGTTATTAGGTTTATGATAATAATAGTTTTAAACTGGAGAGGTTTCTTCTAGAACCTGTTTAGGGCAAAGCAACAGGTTTAATTTAATCCCTAAATCCCCAGAAATCTATTCTTGCCCTTCCTTAGCTCCACTGACACTCCATCCAGCACTGGGAGCTGAAGGAAATACTTCCAGGTATAGAGATATAGTGTGACTTACTCTATGTGACAGGGCTGGAGCAATCAGTAATGTCATTAAGGGAGGCCATAGCCCTGTGTAAGCTATAATTCAGACTACTTTTGTTTTCATTTTCCAACCAATGGCTTAAAGGAAAAAGAGTGAAAGGGTGGTAAATATTTGTGTCTGCGGAGATCTAAAGTGAGCACTGCATGAGCAAAACACAGATTTACCTTAAACTCTTTTTTGCTTACTCTTGTAGGAGAGGCTCATAAACATTGATTCATCTGTCAAATAATTTTTTTCTATTGGTACTGAATAAAAAATGTTTTTTTTTTTTTCCCATTTTGACAAAGCTTGTCTTTGGAAGCTCTCTGTATACATTAAGAGGAAGATATACTCATTTCTTAACCGTTTTCTCCATGTATTTAATATGGTAAACAATATAAAAGTAAATTCTTAAACAATGAATACATTCAATTGAATAAAAATGAAATATTTATATAAATATAATATTTATAAAGTATAAAATTTTACTATTCATTATGTGCACCATGGTTAACATTTCCAGCCAGCAAATGGGGTTCTCGTGTTTATCTGTTTATCCATAGCTGTTGAAAAAAGCTGAAGCTGCAATTAACACTGAATTGAGTAAGTTAGAAGAGTGACTTATCTTCCCCCCTTCCTCTCTCTTCCTATTCTGTTTAGATAGGACCATATAGAGTTTCAAGCAATTCTGCTGATGGAAAACAAGTACAGGCACTCAAAGGTGACTGTGTATACTTGCAGCAGTTTTCAGACCACCTGTGCTGCCTAAATGCCAGGCTGTTCATTGGTCCAAACTGGTCTGTCCCACCACCCATACATCCTTTTGATCCCTCAACTTGATGGATTGAATCACAGGCAAATAGGCATGCTTGGCTCTTATAGATTTATACCTACTAGAAAGCTCAGGGCTTAAATCAGAGAGTCTAAAGGTAAACAGCTTTTGCTGCCCTCTTGCTTTAGGAGTCCTCTAATGCTCTAAGATGCTATGGCAGCTGTGTCTTGATTCTACCCTGTAAAAAATGTGTTTTTTAAATAAAGATTTACAAATAGTAAAAACAAAAACGTCAAGAAAAAGCATCAGATTAAAATGCTGTACATCTATCTTTGAATTAAAACTCCAAACTAAAAAAAAAACCCAAAATGGTTTCCCTTTAACTATGTCCTGGAAAACATATTTATCTCTCATTAGTTCTCTTGGAAAATCTTTATTTTCGGTTGGGGGTTGTAGTGAATATATAAGGGCAGCTGGGAACTGAAACATGTTGTCTGTAACCATAGCATAACTGAACCACTAACATTAATGATCTTTTGCTAGCCAAAATATTTGGCAGAGATAGATCTCTATTAGTAGTGACCCAATGCAGCAGGGGGGATCAGCTGTCCCTTATTTTAGTGGGCATCCATCGCCCAGCAGGAATTTTTATTTTGTGTTGCTGAAGTAGAAAATGCACTTGCGGTAATTCAGCATGTACGCTAATTAAAAAATATTATTTTTGTGACGGGCTGTAACGTATTGGAATAGCAGTTTCATCAGAAAGCATGCACAGAAATACAACACACCATATGTACATGGACATATTATTTCACCCATCCACTGGAGAATGACTCAGAAGAACAGATTTCCAGAACTGCAATTAGAACAGTTTGAAATGGACTCATATCCTGTATCCAGACAGACCATAAGCAGTATTCAAAGATCAGCCTTGGAAATATTTTACTGATATTTAGAATGAGTAAATTAACATTTTCAACCAGCTTTTGCAAGAAAGGAAATCGGAAAACACCATTTGGATTCTTTACCAAAGACAAAAAAGAATATATTTGCATGCAATCATTCTTCCAGTGCTCAAGTGATGCACTTGCAAATGCTTGTGTTATATTACCATCTAAGATGTTGACACATGCAGAGATAATCAGGGCATCTGCACCTGTTACAACACAAAAGACCATTGCTTCTGTCACCATGTAAAACCTTGAGTGTACAAGTTTTGGTAACCTAAAATATGTCTTGCAAAGTTTTAATGCATTCACTATAAGGCTACATAACAAAAGGACATCCAGCTCCAGTGTTGAATCAGCTTCTACCCAGCCTTTTCTCCCACATCTGACATGGTAGGTTGAGTTGGGGTGCTGAGGGAAATCATTGAAAGGAAAAGCCTAGCATGGCCCAAAGGTTGCGTAACATATTTAGGTCAATGTGATGCCATGCCCAACCAACTCAGAAGTGTAATGACCCAGTTTGCTTTGGATAGCCGCTTAAATCCAAAAGTTATTGAAATTTCCTGACAGTGACCCCCTTTAAGCAAACTTGTGCTCTGTCTAGTCAGCCTCAGCTAAACTACTACCTAACCCTGCCTCTTGCTTTAATGTATATTGTGATGGGCATGGCGTCAGACCCCAGCCCTTCTCACCAACTTGTGACCAAAGGACCAGCCAATCTAAGACCATGCTGCCACTTGCATAACAATGCCACTCTCAGCTGTGCGCTGCACAAAGATTTTCCAGCTCGCTGGACCACAATCTATGTGCCAGCAGCCTGAGAGCGATTGTTACTGGGTCAGGTTAATTACGCAATTAACCCTTCACACTGCCGCCACCACCTTTTTACAGAGAAGGAGGAAACTCACAAATCTTAGCAGTAACACTATGCTGTTTGAATAAGCATCTGTATACACACTGCCACCACAGACAGATGTACGCAGAGGGTTAAAACATACAATGGCACTCTTCAGAGACAGGGATTCTTTTAGTATTCATTAAAAGCTTTAGAGACAGTTTCAACACGTTTCAGAAATTAGGATTTATTACTAAAAAGGTCAAAATGGTGCAATAAAAATATTTACAGAAAAGATGTAGCAAATATATATATATATATATATATATATATATATATATATATATAACAGAGAGAGCAATAAAACAACAGAGAAATAAAAAAAAGAAGTTTCAGAAGGTAGGATACTTGCAGAAGTCCTTGGTTTAAGCAGAGTCCAAGTGTCCGAACAAAAGGGTGTCTTTTCTCCCAAAGAAGGTTCCTGGTGTTAAAAGGGAGAATCTCTTTTTTTCTCTCCAGGCATTACAGCCTTTTTTCTAGTGTCCCAACAGGGGGTATCTACTGAAGCCAAAGGCCAATTGCCTCATTTGGGGAGGGGTAAGCGGGGACCCAGGCTATGACCAAATCCCTCCCAAGTTTATACCATAGTCAATAACCTTCAACAGGTACATGCAGCATCCTAGCCACTGGCAGATTAATATGCAGAATCATATTCCAAACGTCCAGACACCAAATATGGCATATCTTACCATTCCGGATAAAGATATATTGCTTTCTACTCTCTTGTAGATGCTACCTAGGGGTGTAAGGTGTCAGGTGACTTGTATTAAAATGACCTATCTGAATATATGCTTTATTTTAATGTGCCCTGTTCCTGTTGAAGTTTATGAATTTGTATGAAAAATAATTCAAGTGGGTTGTATGTTTTATGGCCACTCTGAGGTAAGGCTTACATGTGAAGTGACCGACTGAGTTATAGTTTTACGACCGGGCAGATGAAAGTGTTTGTCAGACCCTCTGGCACCAGGCTTATTTGGGGTTGCAACCTTGAAGCTTATCCAGCTGTGCCTTATGCTCTTGTGACCCCAGTGCACACACAGACCACATTCCATTCAAAGAGGGAGGGGGGGGGGGGGGACTGGATGGAGTGAGAATGATATTTGCAGAGTATGATACAAATATGATTGTCACCGTCCTTATCTTTAAGCGCACACTTATCACATATATGTAAACTCTTTTTAACACATTTCATAAGTCATGCTGCCTTTAATATAAGCACAAATGCCATGTCTGCTTTTCCCCAAAGTTCCCCAGCAATCTGTGTTATGCCTCCAGCAGGGAAATATATTATGCCTATCCTGCCTGCAATATCACATTTGACCACTAAATGGAGCCAGTAATACATTTACCATTTTACAGAAACTAGAGACTGCTTAGATAAGAGTTAACAGACAATAAAAATTCACATAATTCTGAGAGAAAGAAAAGAGATGCATCTTGGGAGCTCAGACTCCATCTTAGAAACTGCGAGAGAAGGAGCCAGCTATCAGAGCACATTGGATTAAAACTTGCATACCCTAAAGGCAGCTTCACTGGTGAGAATTACTTATTGTCATCTATAGCCTAACTAATCATTGTGTTTTCTGTATATAAATTAATCTGTTAATATAGCTTCAAGATTACATTCAGTCTGTCTTATTACAGAATAGAAGGGTTTAGCTGCATGTTGAGTTACACACAGGGAAACATGTAGCAAGGACAGAACAACGTGCAAAGGGCTTTCCAATCATTGCCTCTGCCTATAGTGCATCAGCATTTTTCACAGGCATTTATTCTGCAGCCTCAATGTGCAGGCAGCTATAGAACTATACTTCCCATTAATTCTGGCATTAGAAATATAAGCAGAGCATACTGTTGTCTTATAGTCTTCATACACAAGGCTGAAATGCATCAGCATTGTGGTGTAAATATTGACTCATTTTCTGCTCACCAAGTTAACGATGACAACTTTTATGTGGTGTTTACTACCCACTCCAAATTAGGCTAAAAGTGCAATGCAACCATTCAGTGGTATATTTAGGTTTTGTGCTGCCCTAGGCAACACAAAAATCAGCGCCCC